GAAGTGAGTGGGAGGAAAGTAGAACTTGATGAGGTAACTGTACCTGCTCCCTTATTGGAAAGTAGTTCATCACAAGAACTAGTTTCTGTGACAACTACACCAATTAGTGAGGAAGCTAATGATATTGATCATGAAACTTCAGATCAAGTTTCTACTGAACCTCGTAGGTCTACCAGAGTAAGATCCGCACTAGAGTGGTACGGTAATCCTATTCTGGAAGTCATGTTACTTGACCATGGAGAACCTACGAATTATGAGGAAGCGATGATGAGCCCAGATTCCGCAAAATGGCTTGAAGCCATGAAATCTGAGATGGGATCCATGTATGAGAACAAAGTATGGACTTCGGTTGACTTGTCCGATGATCGACAAGCCATTGAGAATAAATGGATCTTCAAGAAGAAGACTGACGCTGATGGTAATGTAACTGTCTACAAAGCTCGACTTGTTGTGAAAGGTTTTTGACAAGTTCAAGGGGGTGACTATGATGAGACTTTCTCACCCGTAGCGATGCTTAAGTCTGTCCGAATCATGTTAGCAATTGCCGCATTTTATGATTATGAAATTTGGCAAATGGATGTCAAAACTGCATTCCTGAATGGATTTCTGGAAGAAGAGTTGTATATGATGCAACCAGAAGGTTGTCTATCCAAAAGGTGCTAACAAAGTGTGCAAGTTCCAGCGATCTATTTATGGACTGGTGCAAGCATCTCGGAGTTGGAATAAACGCTTTGATAGTGTGATCAAAGCATATGGTTTTATACAGACTTTTGGAGAAGCCTGTATTTACAAGAAAGTGAGTGGGAGCTCTGTAGCATTTCTGATATTATATGTAGATGACATATTGTTAATTGGAAATGATATAGAATTTCTGGATAGCATAAAGGGATACTTGAATAAAAGTTTTTCGATGATAGACCTCGGTGAAGCTGCTTACATATTGGGCATCAAGATCTATAGAGATAGATCAAGACGCTTAATTGGACTTTCACAAAGCACATACCTTGATAAAGTTTTGAAAAAGTTCAAAATGGATCAGGCAAAGAAAGGGTTCTTGCCTGTAGTACAAGGTGTGAAGTTGAGTCAGACTCAATGCCCGACCACAGCAGAAGATAGAGAGAAAATGAAAGATGTTCCCTATGCTTCAGCCATAGGCTCTATCATGTATGCAATACTGTGTAGCAGACCTGACGTATGCTTAGCAATAAGCTTGGCAGGTAGGTACCAAAGTAATCCAGGAGTGGATCACTGGACAACGGTCAAGAACATCCTGAAATACCTGAAAAGGACTAAGGATACGTTTCTCGTTTATGGAGGTGACAAAGAGCTAGTCGTAAATGGTTACGTCGATGCAAGCTTTGACACTGATCCGGATGATTCTAAATCGCAAACCGGATACGTGTTTTTATTAAACGGTGGAGCTGTAAGTTGGTGCAGTTCTAAACAAAGCGTCGTGGCGGGATCTACATGCGAAGCGGAGTACATAGCTGCTTCGGAAGCAGCAAATGAAGGAGTCTGGATGAAGGAGTTCATTTCCGATCTAGGTGTCATACCTAGTGCATCGGGACCAATGAATCCAGATTGCCTTGGCAAAGGAATCCAGATTTCACAAGAGGACCAAGCACATCAAGAGACGCTTTAATTCCATCCGGGACCAAGTCCAGGTGGGAGACATAGAGATTTGCAAGATACATACGGATCTGAATGTTGCAGACCCATTGACTAAGCCTCTTCCAGGAGCAAAACATGATCAACACCAAGACTCCATGGGTGTTAGAATCATTATTGTGTAATCTAGATTATTGACTCTAGTGCAAGTGGGAGACTGAAGGAAATATGCCCTAGAGGCAATAATAAAGTTATTATTTATTTCCTCATGTCATGGTAAATGTTTATTATTCATGCTAGAATTGTATTACCCAGAAACATGATACATGTGTGAATACATAGAGAAACATAATGTCACTAGTATGCCTCTACTAGACTAGCTCATTAATCAAAGATGGTTATGTTTCCTAACCATAGACATGTGTTTTCATTTGATTAACGGGATCACATCACTAGGAGAATTATGTGATTGACTTGACCCATTCCGTTAGCCTAGCACTTGATCGTTTAGTATGTTGCTATTGCTTTCTTCATGACTTATACAAAAGTTCCTACAACTATGAGATTATGCAACTCCCGTTTACCGGAGGAACACTTTGTGTGCTACCAAACGTCACAACATAACTGGGTGATTATAAAGGAGCTCTACAGGTGTCTCCGAAGGTACATGTTGAGTTGGCGTATTTCGAGATTAGGTTTTGTCACTCCGATTGTCGGAGAGGTATCTCTGGGCCCTCTCGGTAATGCACATCACTATAAGCCTTGCAAGCAATGTAGCTAATGAGTTAGTTACAAAATGATGCATTACCTAACGAGTAAAGAGACTTGCCGGTAACGAGATTCAACTAGGTATTGGATACCGACGATCGAATCTCGGGCAAGTAACATACCGATGACAAAGGGAACAACATATGTTGTTATGCGGTTTGACAGATAAAGATCTTCGTAGAATATGTAGGAGCCAATATGAGCATCCAGGTTCCGCTATTGGTTATTGACCGGAAACAGTTCTAGGTCATGTCTACAAAGTTCTCGAACCCGTAGGGTCCGCACGCTTAACATTACGATGACAGTTTTATTATGAGTTTATAAGTTTTGATGTACCAAAGGTTGTTCGGAGTCCCGGATGTGATCACGGACATGACGTGGAGTCTCGAAATGGTCGAGACATAAAGATTGATATATTGGACGATTATATTCGGACACCGGAAGTGTTCCGGGTGATTTCGGAGAAAACCGGAGTGCGGGAGGGGTTACCGGAACCCCCCGGGGAAGTATTGGGCCTTAGTGGGCCTGAGGGGAGAGAGAGGGCAGCAGCCCAGGAGGTGGCACTCCCCCTCCCATGAGGAGTCCGAATTGGACTAGGGGAGGGGGCGCCGCCCCTCTTTCCCTCTCCCTCTCCCTCTCTTTCCTTCCCCCTTCCCCCTTCCTAATTGGACTAGGAAAGGGGAGTCCTACTCCCACTAGGAGGAGGACTCCCCCCTCCTTGGCGCGCCCCTAGGGCCGGCCGTCCTCCCCCCTTGCTCCTTTATATACGGGGGCAGGGGGACACCTCTAGACACACAAGTTGATCTTCGTGATCGTTCCTTAGCCGTGTGCGGTGCCCCCCTCCACCATATTCCTCCTCGGTCATATCGTAGCGGTGCTTAGGCGAAGCCCTGCATCGGTAGAACATCATCATCGTCACCACACCGTCGTGCTGACGGAACTCATCCCCGACACCATGCTGGATCGGAGTCCGGGGATCGTCATCGAGCTGAACGTGTGCTGAACTCGGAGGTGCGGTGCATTCGGTACTTGGATCGGTCGGATCGTGAAGACGTACGACTACATCAACCGCGTTGTCATAACGATTCCGCGTCTACGAGGGTACGTGGACAACACTCTCCCCTCTCGGTTCTATGCATCACCATGATCTTGCGTGTGCGTAGAATTTTTTTTTGAAATTACTACGTTCCCCAACAATAACATGTCCTTCTCGCATAAGTTCTTGTAATAAATAGCAACGACTTCATCACCTCACGAGGATTCATGATTTTTTCCCTTCCCTGTTCTATCTCTTCCACAGAACCTAGACCAACGTGGGTACTGTACGTCTATACATACCTAGATGTTCAGAGGTTGACGTTGGTACAGAAATATGATGACACCGATTTTGTTGTGGCCATGGACAGCATCGGTGCCGAGATAGGGACAATAACCAGGCGGGACGAGAGGGCGAAGCACTACATGTCATCAACCATGCCGGCCAAATCGGACGAGGGTGCCACAGTCGCGGGGCGCACTACCGCTGATGATATTACCGCGAGCAACACCATGAAGCCGCCTTGATCAAGCCATCTGGCCTGCCTTCTCCCGCAATGTCATGCAGCCCAGCAGGGTGAGGCATGCGCACGTCCCACATTTCTTACAGTTTCTCCATCACTATCATCAGTCTGATTTCGATCCGCTAAACGAGTAGGTCACTGCATTGCGTCACCGTCACTAGGATATGTGGTTGGCCTCCGCCTGCATGCTCCACCTATCCTCGCAACATCTGTTGATTCAACTGCAACACATTCAATCGTTGTAAAGGGGAGAAACAACCTTCAGGTATGGCTCTTAAATTCCGGTGCTTCCTTTGTACCATTTCTCGCATAAGCTGCCACAACGTCTATTTTATAACACTATATGCTATACATACATATAACACTATGTAAGTTCAGCGAAGTCACATACCCAAAAAAGATTAGCATTGGGGGTTCATTCAAGGTGCAGACATGTAATTTGCATCCCGGTATTAATTGCTACTTTTTTGTTAGCAGCACATCAAATGTATTGTCTTCTTTCCATTGAGATGATCTAAGGTAAGATCCTCTGAAAGTTTGGTTAGAGAACTGATCATACTAAGTAAGTTAATTTCAGAGTTACACACTTATGAGAGCAAGATAGATTCACATGACTACCGAGCCAACTCTATCGTAGAGAACACATATAAAAACTGGTTTGCCGTCAAGTGATGAATAATGCTGATCGAGAGACCATCAGCTGCTTCAAGAGTTTTTTTTTCTTTTATTTTTGAGAGCGTTCCAGCTACATCTTTTTTTTCAGCTACAGAGTTGACTGACTTGGGGAAGACCCGGGTCGCTCGGTTGGGTCAAGCCCGGCTGTGTGAGGCCCAAACCCACCAAGCCAGCCAACACCCTAGCTCGTCCTCCTCGCTCCTCACTCCTCTTCTCCCCGGCCGCCACCTTCTCCTGCTCACCCACTTCCTCCTCCGCCGCCGTCTCACCCAAATGCGCATCACTGGACCACGAGATCTAGCGATTCGTGCCGCCCACCACACCCATTGATCGATCTTCTTGCTCATAGATGCAGTAGTGAGCTGCTAAGGGGGGCTTCACCCTTCATCCATGGCGGTGGTGGGCGCCGCGCATGGTATGCTGGGTCCGCTGCTGGGGAAGCTCGCCGAGCTGCTCGCCGGCCAATTCGGCCGCCTGCGAGGCATCCGCAAGGACATCCTCTCCCTCCAGGCCGAGCTGACCAGCATGCACGCGGCGCTCCAGGAGTACACAATGCTCGAAGATCCGGGCGTCCAGGTGAAGGCCTGGATATCGCTGCTCAGGGAGCTGGCCTATGATACCGAGGATTGCATCGACAAGTTCATCCGCCACCTCAGCAAACATGGGCGTCGCGGCGGCTTCAAGGAGCTCTTCCGCAGGGCCGTTCACTCACTCAAGACGCTCGATTCTCGCTGCGGGATCGCCGACCAGATCGAGGAGCTCAAGGCCCGCATCAAGCATGTGAAGGAGCTCAAGGTAGTTACAAGCTGAGTGGGACTGCTTGTCGCAAGACTGAGCATGCGGCCGTGGATCCTCGGCTGTGTGCTCTGTTTGCCGAGGAGGCAGGTGTGGAGGGTCCAAGAGATGATCTTGTCAAGTGGATGTTGAAAGAAGAAACAAACAGCTCCACCAAGGATCGTAAGGTGTTGTCAATTGTTGGATTTGGTGGATTGGGGAAGACAACACTGGCAAATGAGGTCTATTGCAAGATTAAAGGGCATTTCGATTGCCGGGCTTTTGTATCAGTCTCACAAAAGCCAGTTATAAAGAATATTATCAAGGATTTGATCTACAAAGTGCCTTGCCCTGATGAATTCAGAAAAGATATTGAAATTTGGGACGAAGCGGCATCCATTGCAAAGCTAAGGGATCAATAGCTCATGTGCGACGTTTTTCATGCGAATTGGAAGGAGTGCAACGTTGTTGGAATGAATGGTTGTGATGCGACGTTTTAGAAGCAAACAATAGCTCCAATGCGACATGGCTCCTTTTAACCATGAAATGAAAAACACGAGGGGTTAGCTATTTGAGTTATGACACGCGGGACCTAGCAGTTACTCGCATGCGGGTGGGACCCACAACTTATCCACGCAAGCATGCCCGTGCTCATCTGCGTGCCCCGACCCGAGCCAGCCCCCCCCCCCGCCCTCCATTGCTTGCCCTGCCCCTTTCCTTTCCCACCTTCTTCTTCCTTTGCTCCGGCAACGAAGCGCGCCGCCGGCGAGTGATGTCTAGCTCGACTTCGGCCTCCCGCCAATCATGGACGCAGTACGATCCACTGCTGTTGACAAGATGCCCCGATTGCCCGTGCATGGAGCCTCTGAAGCGTTTGACTTGTGTGAGGAAAGAAAATGGCAACCGTGGGCGCGAGTTTGTGAAATGCTTGAGCAAGCCATAGCCGGGGCAGGTTAGATCTGTGTTCTTGACCAATCCTATGGTCTAATTTCTCCCAATTTCTTTCTTTCTTCCTCGAATTAGGGCGGTAGATCTAGGATTCATGCGCCGTCGGCCCCCTGTTTTTCAGGTTCTGAAGAAATGTGGGCATTTTGAGTGGCTCGATGACTATGTTGAAAGGTTGAAATTGGAGGGATCAACCAGAACCCAAGAGCTCAATTTTGGGGGGTGGCTTGCCATGGAACAAGCCCCCAATTTGGCCGGACAGAGCCGATCCGATGATGCACAGTGCAGAATTGAAGTGTGAATTGAAGAAAATTGTCAAGCAACTAAAGCATCTGATCGATTTGAAGCAGCAAGCAAATATGATGGCTGGAGCATTTTATGGTTGTGTCATTGCTATGGGTTTATTTTACTTGATGTTCATCAATCGCTAGAATTTGTTAGAGTTTCAGTTAGCGTGTCAACTAGTTTCAGGGGTGCCCAGTAGTTTGAGTTAGCCAGGGATCATTTGTTAGATTTGAATTAGTGTGAAGCAAAACTTGCTTGAATTATTGTAATAATATTCTCAGGGGCCCTATTCAGTGTTCATGCTCTGTTTCCTCTGTTTTTGTTTTTCAGCTAACAGAGTACACACCCAAATTCAGTTTCTAGTAAAAAAACCTGGGCTGCCGAATAGATGTTGGGCCGTGAGAAAATGGACCCTGAGAAAATAACCATGCCCAAGACCAGCATCGACCACCATGTTAAACAAGAAAGGGAAGAAGGGGTCACCCTACCTCACCCCACAGAAGGTGGGGAAGTAAGGACCGATCTTGCCATTGATGTTCACCGCGGTTCATCCGGAAGAGACCATCTGCATGACCCTGGTAACCCAGCGTTCATCGAACCCTTTCTGGAGTAACACCTCCCGAAGGAAGGACCAACTGACCGTGTTGTAGGCTTTGTGGAAGTCTAACTTCAGGAAGACGGCCTTGATGTGCTTGGAGCGGACCTCATGGAGGACTTCATGGAGACTAGGACGCCGTCTAGAATATATTGGCCTTTGATGAAGGCCGACTGGTCAGGGTGGGTAATGTGGTCGGCCAAGGGGGTTACCGTATTGGCATACCTCTTTGGTAGAATGCGGAAGATCACATTGATGACTGTGATTGTGTGGTTCCTTATGTCCGAGGCTCCAGGAACCTTGGGGAACAATGTGATGACCCCAAAGCTAAGGCGGGGGAGGTCCATGGTACCTACATAAAATCCTCGAAGAGGGCCATCACCTCCTGCGTAATAATGCTCAAGAAGGTCTGGAAGATCTTCACCGAAAGGCCGTCCGGGCCTAGAGTGGACATCAGGTTCATTCCTTTAATGGCAGTCCAGACCTCTTCCTTAGAGAACGGGTCTTGAGGGCGGCATTCTCTGCTATCGAGATGTGTTGGTGTGCGTTCCAGAAGTCGTCCGCCAAAGCTACGCCACCCCTAGGGAGCCCGAAGATACCAATCACCATACAACCGGAGGACCCACTTCTAGGTACCGTGGATACGCCAATAGGCCTCCTCTTCGGTGTAGATGACAATGAGCTGATCTTCAAGATCGTACCGAAGCATCCATTCGGTAGGAGAAAGGCCCACCGAGTCAGTCCGGAGGTCCAGAACCTGGATAGAATCAAGGAGGGATTTCTTGTGTTTCCGAAGGTCCCACCCTAGGTTCGCACCCTAGCCCTTCATAAATTGCCATAAGCGCTTGGCACAAAAGTGCCAATTATCGACGGCCGAAAGGGCATGGCGGGGAGAGAGACACGCCTCCACCCAACGGTCACGAACGACTTCGACAGAACCATTCTGGTTAAGCTAGAAAGTTTCGAAAGGAGCAGAGGGACGAAGTATACTATTCCTGGAAAAGAAGTATACTATTCAAGATAGATAATTCGAAGCGTCGCGTGGAATTCCAATTGGAAGTTGGATGATGCAGACATGCGTGCGGTCCAATACGACCCACCAGCAGAATTATACATGTGCTCTACCATCAAACCAAAATGATAGGAAAGTTCAACATGTTTGCTGTTTCTCCTAGCACAAGCAGGACATGAATTGTACATGGAGAGATGGCAAGGCCAAAACAAGGAACATGCGTGCGGTTCTGGTTGATCCCTCCGTATGTATCTTGCAAATCTCTATGTCTCCCACCTGGACTTGGTCCCGCCTGCCTGGTATGAGGCACCTACCAGTCCGGCGCACTCCTCAACCAGGACGCCTGCCGGGTATGGGACCGCCGCAGCCACCTGCCACTGATCCATCTTCAGAGCTGTACTATTGCATTTACCGTGCTAGGTCTCTCTGCCATCGATGCCACCACGACGCCCGACAGTGTCGTCCTCCTGCGCGAGTCCATCCTCCCACAGCGAACTCCGAATCTGCATTGTGCCACACCATCAAGATCCGTTGCCATCAGTGTGTAGGATGAATCACCGCTCCACCAAAGAATCCGTCCTCTGGTCCCTCGATCACGTGTGTACCTCCAAGAATGACGCCCCCGAGGGAGGAACGACACCAGAGCGCTGCCGTCATCCGATCATCTGATCTAGGGTTTCCCCCAGAGGTAGCAGAGAGTGGCCTTGAGCTTCTCCATGTAGATGCCTTCAAGAAGGGAAACGACACAGATAGAGCCGCCACCGCCGGCCTTAGCGGACGCCGAAAGCAAGTTTTCACCCAGATCAGTTCGAAGGGATCCAACTCTTGTGCACAGGCCGCCGTTACCACCAGCACCACCAGGCAGAACCATGAAGCACTGGCAGATCAGCGAGCCGCCGGCATCACCGCATCCAGATCGCCGGCCACGCCGGGCCGCCGCCATCCCCCGCGCCGTCCGGGTCAAAGACAGAGCCGCCGACCGCGCACAGGGACCACCGCCGGCTGCACACGCCGGAGCGCCGCCGAGAGCCCAGCGCCTGCCACCGCTTGCCGAGGGCCGCCGCCCGCCCCCCGAGCGGACTCCCACGCACACCAAGGGAAACCGTGAGCGTGAGCCCTGCCGTCGCCTCCAAGCCCCCGCCGCCAACAACCGCCGCGATCCGCCCACGCCAGATCCAGCGAGTCGTGGGAGAAGAGATCCCGCTGCCGCCGACGCCAACCGGGCTTTGCCCGGCGGCGGCGAGGAGGAGAGATCGGGGGAGGGACGAGGACGGGGCGGCGCTAGGGTTCCCCCCGGTCGCCGCGCAGGGGCGACACGTAGGAGTCGGGAGTCGGGCGGCGCTAGAGTGTACACGTTTGCTGATCCAATGCAACAAAAGCAGCGATAAGAGCACGTCTAACAGAACCCTCAAAAACTCAACCTTCAAAACCAGTGTGAGGGTTGAGAAATTGTGGTTTTGAAGGCTGAAAATCGCTGGCGCACATCAGTGCCCTCAAACCAACCCTCAAAACAGAATATTCTATTTTGAGGGTTGGTTTGAGGGCACTAATCTGAGCCCCGGCCTTCAAACTGTCAAAACTGGACAGCAAGTATTTCAACCAAATTTCATACAACAAACATAACAATAATCAACAACAAATAATTATTCTAGTTATGATTACAACATCAAATAATTGTTTAAAGCTCACAACAATCATTCTACTTAGTACAACAATGTTTGAATCAAATAGTACATAGAAAAATAAAACAAATATCCCTTACAACAATGTTTGTATCACAAATAGGACATGGAATGAAATAGGTCATGTTTGAATAAAATAGGCCATCATTGGCGACGGCCAAGCAGCTGCCAGTGGTGCTCGACCAGATCATTGCGGAGCTGGGTATGAGTGTTGGCATTTTCAATATCCCGATGTGTTTGAAGAAAAGCTTGAATGCGATCGGGGTTTCTCTCCGGTTGCACTCGAGTACCAACATTATCATAGAAACATGGCAAGTTTAACCCCCTCTCATCCTCGAGTATCATGTTGTGTAGAATGACACAACACTTCATGATGTTCATAAGGGTTTTCTTGTCCCAAAAACGAGCTGGACCCGAACAATGGCAAATCTTGCTTGCAAAACACTGAAAGCTCTCTCAATGTATTTGCGGTCTGATTCTTGCGCCCTCGTGAAATTAGCTTCTTTTTGGGATAAGG